CTTCTGACAAGTATCCTATTATTTTTATCCTAAGTTAGAATATCCTAGCGCTAGGATACTTTTCGAGAATAAGGTATGACACCTATCCTAGACCCTAGGATCAAAGTTAGGATATCCAAGGGCTACGATCCTTTGGAGAAGGAATCTTCATAACTCATAGTTTCTCATTTTTTTCTGCACTTATATTTCGGCACTATTTGGCACGTGCTTCAAAAGAAATCAAATGTTTTGGAAAGCTTTTATAATAGTACAGGGATGAAAGTTAACTTAAACAAAATTAAGGTTATGGTCTTTAGAAATGGGCCGCCTCTTCGTCATTATGCGAAACGGTTCTATAATGGTTGCCCTGTTGAAACGATGTCCTTTTATAGATATTTAGGATCAGTTTTAACACCCCAGCTTGTCTGGAGTAAAGCCTAGACATGTCTTGAATCTCAGGCTTCTAAAGCTATAATGTCTTTAAATGGTTTCCAGAGGACAATTGGTAACATATTTTGCACTGATCTACCTAATATTTGTGATTCAATGGTTGTGCCTGTTCTTTGTTATGGCTCTGAAATGGGGGTAACATGTCGTTCCAAAATAATAGAGGGTGTGCAAATTTACTTTTGTAAACAATACTTAACGGTGAAAAGAGCTACATTAAATGGTATGGTTCTTGGCGAGTGTAGCAGACTCCCATTACAGCATTTGTACATGTCAAGAGTGATCAAATTGTGATGTAGACTTATACATATGGCACAAAATAGACTCCAACATCAATGTGATTTAATGTCAAGATCATTAGATAGCTTAGGCTATAATACCTTGGTAGCAAAAGTTAGACACATCCTGTTCCAATATGGATTTGTTTATGCTTGGCTAGGCCAAGAAATGGGAAATGTGGAATATTTTGTGTATCTATTCAAGATAAGGCGACGTGATACCGTAAAACAATCTTGGTACTCATCAACTAGTGATTCTCCTAAATGCATATTTTATAAGGAGTTTGAAACTGTTAAACGTTGAAAGATATTTGTTTTGTGATATCCCTATGCATTTAAGAATTGGTATTTCAAGGTTTAGATGCAGTAATTTTAATACCGCGGTTGAATGTGGCAGGTATCGTGGAATTGCATATAACGAAAGACTGTGCCCTTTTTGTAAAACCAGAGATCAGCATTATATAGAAAATGAATATCATGTATTACGTATTTGCAACGCCTATGATATACCTAGAACTAAATGTATAACAAAGTTCACTAAAGAACCACTTGCTCTTTTCTCTTTTGTAAATCTTTTGCAAAGTACAGACATTGATATACTCCAAGACATCAAGCTGAAAAGTTGTTTTGCGCACGCACTAAACACAGTGTCAGTCTGATTGTATAATGGGCGAGGGCCTCTTTACTGAATAAATACTGTCTGTCTGTCTCTCTGTCTGTAGATAGATGCTCATGTTGTTAATCACTGTATTGACTGGTCCACACCCCATTATTTACAGAGTGAGTGAGTGAGTGAGTTAGAATTTAACGTCACCGTTATTTACAGAATATGACCCACAATGTATAATGGAAATATTTATATGTGGCTGCTGTGAAACCCTTGGCTGCCTGTGTCCATCACACTTACGACCCACGAATATCTCATACATCATTCGTGTCATTCAAGTATCTTTTTTTCTTTATTTTTTAGTTCCCATATTTCATGTACAGGCAAACATGTATAGATAACTTTCTTAATAATACAATGGTATATGTATACATGTATGAAAATGTACAGTTGGCTGAAAAAGTATAATTGGCTGGATTATGTTCCAAGTAATAGATGTAATGATGACCAATATTGAAAAAACAATTGTTCAGTTCCCGCAGATAAGTAAACATATCTTGACATATCATAGTGACGGACAATTTCATTTTTTAAATATTCTAACTTTGGTTTGAAACTATTTATGCTGCATCTGTAGATATAATGTTTGATAACTGAAATGATTTCATTAATCGGATTATTGTTGTTTCCTTTCATTCCCAATATAACGATTGTATTTGTAAGTTCCAGTTGTAACTGTACCGAGTTCAACCATGATTCTTTTTCTTTCCATAATTTAAAAACAAATTCACATTCCCATAACATATGATTGATAGTTTCTCTTTCTTGTTCACACAATGGACATATTGGTGAGGATGTGTATCCCATTTTATAAAGTAGTTGTTTTGTTGGTAGGATATTGTGGATAATTCTATATTGCAACCATTTCAAATCTGTGCTTCGCGAACATTTATTCGCAATAATGTTACAGATTTTCCAGTCGTTTTCAGTAAAATCACTCTTTAGAACTCTTTCCCATTTTGGAAAACTTGAAAAAGGAAAAGAAAAGAACTTAGAAACTAGGCTAGATGAACTAGAAAAGAAACCAGACCTTAATGAGGATGGTGACACTAAGCAAACTCTACTAAATGAAATAAATGTTTTAAAACATGAGCTAGATGAAATTTCCAACCATAAAATAAACGGAATGCTTATAAGCGATACAGCAACTTGGGTCGAAAAAGGTTGAAAACCAACAAAATACTTTTTAAAGTTAGATCGGTGTAACGAACTGATGGGTGTAACGAACTGATGGGTATAACGAACTGGTGGGTATAACGAACTGATGGGTATAACGTATAACGAACTTACAGACATAACGAACTGATGGGTATAACGAACTGATGGGTATAACGAACTGATGGGTATAACGAACTGGTGGGTATAGCGAACTGGTGGGTATAACGAACTGTTTCTTTTGTCCCGACCACTCGCTGAATGTGGCGCTCTGGCAATCTGAGAATCTGAAAATCTTTCAATCTGACAATCTTTCAGTCAGGCAATCTGACAATTTGACAAACCGGTTACCTGGCAATCTGGCAAGCCTTCAGTCTGTCAATCTGACAATCTCGCAATATGGAAATCTGACAAACTGGCAATATGACAACATGGTAATCTGACAATCCCACAATCTGGCAATCTAACAATCCCACAATCTGACAATCGACACGGGTTCGGCATTGTCTTTTCGATGTGTGAAAATGTGTTGAAATCAAACGCTGATTAAATATTTACTCAGCAGCAAAACAAACGTCAATACGAATTCAAAATCAAATCATTTCAGAAATGGACATAATAAGCGGATCAAAAACATTTTTTGTGTACAACATCTTGACGCATCAATGAATAACTTAGCAAAATATCTAGACATTACGTGAACGTTTGCAGTTCATTCAGACTCTTGACTTCAGTATCTAGTGTGACCACCACGAGCGGCAATAACTGCAGCACAACGTCTATGCATGGAGTGCACCAATCGATTGATGACGGCCATTGACACTTTGGTTCACACTCTGAAAAAGGCCTGGCGCAATAAATCGGATGGGTTCGGCCTTGGCATAACATTATTCAGTCTCGTCTGAATTTCATCCCAAAGATGTTCAATTGGGTTTAAATCAGGACTAAGTGCTGGCTACTGCATAATGTTGACACCGATCTGCTGTAGGAAGTCCCGTGTAGCTCTGGCAGTATGGGCTCGGGCGTTACCCTGCTGGGAAATGTTGTTCCGGTGACGTGCGAAATGTGGTATGACGTGAGATCTGAGAGCTTGGTCGATGTAGCGCACCGCTGTGATTCCGCTTCCTATCCCTGGACCAAGGTTCTGGAGCACCACAGGACCCACACTCTGGTTCAGGCCTATTCCATCCCATACCATGATGCTTGCACCTCCCCATGAGTCTCTCTCCATAACTCATTGGTCTGAGTAACGCTGGCCACGTCGTCGCCATATTCTTGTTCTGCCATCTGCAGTTGATGCGCAGTACCGACTCTCATCTGTGAACAGAATTGAGCAGTTCTCCATTGCCTGTATCGCCAGCTTTGGTGTTTTAGGGCAAACTGTAGACGTTCACGCCGGTGACGAGGGGTGAGGATAGGTCCACGGTAAAGTCTACGGCAATGGAGGTTCCCTCTGTTAAGACGTCGGCGTACTGTATCAGTACTGATTGGTCTTCCGTGTTCCCACTGTCTGGTGGGGATTCTGTACATGCTGTCGCACAACATGGCGGTCTTGTCGTCTTGTGGTCACCCTTGGTCTGCCAGTACGGGAGCGATCAGTTGTGGTGTTGGTGGCTCGGAAATGTTGCTGCAGCCTGTAGATGACCCGAACGTTGACCTGGAAGTGATTGACAACGGCTTGTGCAGTGTGGCCAGCTTCAAGTCCTCATATCGCCTGGTTCCTGTGAGTTGTCGTGAGTCGCGGCATCATGCTGACGGTGTAATGTGAGTGTTTCAACCAGGTTTAGGGGTGCATTTTATAGTGCTGGTCCTAGTGAACAGCACGTGCAGCATGAGTTGCATGAAAAGCATGGAGAACACTATACTATCTCCGAGATCAGGTTGCGTTTTCCTGGGTTCCATTCTGAGTTTGGGAAGAAATTTCTTTGCTCAGGTAAAGTAGGAGATGTTGTCAAAAATATAAAATCAAAATATTAAATGAGTTTACAGTTATCCGTTTCTGTGATGGATAATTTTAAACTGACGTTTCTTTTGCTGCTTAGTATATATACTAACCAAAACATGTTCCCTGCAGCTGATCCATAGCGTAGTGACAATTGGAAAACATAAGATGACATAGACAGGGGGTAGGCGATCAGATCAAATGTGTTCTAATTGTTGGTGTGATTATAGTGGTGTACTAGGTGGTTAAATAGGTCAGCCCTCAAATTCAAAATTCGGATTTTGCAGAAAATGGGCCAAAACCGCATCTGTTGGCAGGATATGCCCGGCTTCTTCGAGGTATGTTGCTGAGGGGTCGATCAATGTGATCTTCCCCATGTTGTTCAGTGAGAGCAGCGCCGAAATATTTCAGGGTGGTAGGGATTTTGACGTTGACGTACACGTTTGCAGTGACGTCCCTGGTGTGTTCAGTTGGGGAACGTTGAGCACTTAGTATTCTCAACGGCATGACATTGATATTTGGCTGTTGGAGGAATTGAGTCACAATTGTATTTTTCTTTATTACAAATATTCATTATTAAAATATTGATGTATTAAGACGAACAATTTCTGTAATTATGTTTACGTTATCCACATTGCCTCACAAGGTTATAATTACGAGAGGAACATTTCAATAGTGTGGCCACGTTCTGATGAGATTGTACAGAGCTGTCCCGGGACAGTCAGTGCTGCCCATGTCGCGGTGGCCTCTGAGGGTGTAGCTGGACTGAATCTTCCCCATGCTGACGCCGCAAGCAATGAGGGCCTTGACGGTGTTGAGAGCCGCACTGTTGGGGACGTGATTCATGAAGTTGCCGATCATGCAGAAACCTGGATAAATGAAAAACAATGGACACTGTTGTAGCGCTTAGTTTAAACCCCTTGTCGAGTCACTATCTTACCCAGACCATCACTGTTGTAGCCTCTGGTTTGAGCCCCTGTCTAATCACTGACTTACCCAGACCAACACTGTTGTAGCGCTTAGTTTAAACCCCTTGTCGAGTCACTATCTTACCCAGACCATCACTGTTGTAGCCCCTGGTGTGAACCCCATCTAGTCACTGACATACCCAGACCAACACTGTTGTAGCTTCAGGTGTGAGCCCATGTCTAGTCACTGACTTACCCAGACCAACACTGTTGTAGCCCCGGGTGTGAGCCCCTGTCCAGTCACTGTCTTACCCAGACCATTACTGTTGTAGCCCCTGGTTTGAGCCGCTGTCCAGTCACTGACTTACCCAGACCATCACTGTTGTAGCCTCTGGTTTGAGCCCATGTCCAGTCACTGTCTTACCCAGACCATCACTGTTGTAGCCCCTGGTTTGAGCCCCTGTCTAAACAGACCAACACTGTTGTAGCCCCGGGTGTGAGCCCCTGTCCAGTCACTGTCTTACCCAGACCAACACTGTTGTAACCCCTGGTTTGAGCCGCTGTCCAGTCACTGACTTACCCAGACCATCACTGTTGTAGCCTCGGGTGTGAGCCCCTGTCCAGTCACCGTCTCACCCAGACCAACACTGTTGTAGCCTCTGGTTTGAGCCCATGTCCAGTCACTGTCTTACCCAGACCATCACTGTTGTAGCCCCTGGTTTGAGCCCCTGTCTAAACAGACCAACACTGTTGTAGCCCCGGGTGTGAGCCGCTGTCCAGTCACTGACTTACCCAGACCATCACTGTTGTAGCCTCGGGTGTGAGCCCCTGTCCAGTCACCGTCTCACCCAGACCAACACTGTTGTAGCCCCTGGTTTGAGCCCCTGTCTAATCACCGTCTTACCCAGACCAACACTGTTGTAGCCCCTGGTTATAAGCCCCTGTCTACTCACTGACTTACCCAGACCATCACTGTTGTAGCCTCTGGTTTGAGCCCCTGCCCAGTCACTGTCTTACCAAGACCATCACTGTTGTAGCCTCTGGTTTGAACCCATGTCCAGTCACTGTTTTACCCAAACCAACACTGTTGTAGCCTCTGGTTTGAGCCCCTGCCCAGTCACTGACTTACCCAGACCATCACTGTTTTAGCCCCTGGTTTGAGCCCCTTTCCAGTCAATGTCTTACCCAGACCAACACTGTTGTAGCCCTGTGTGTGAGCTCCTATCCTGTCCCAGCCACGTCCCTCGTAAGCGTTGCCGTCTTCGCCGACCAGGAAGCTGTATCCGATGTCGCTCCACCCTGTGAAAAAAGAAGTATTGTCGTGGAGATGTACAGAAGAAGGGAAAGGTATCAACTGTGTTAAAAAGAACGCTCCTTTCCTCCTTTTTTCACTCTTTCGTGCTCGCCGACTCACTCACTCAGTCACTCAGGTTCGATTTGTCACTGATTCAAGCATTCATTCACTCACTTACTCACTCACACATCCCCTCGATCACTCACTTTGTGACTCGTTTTGTCACTGATTCAAAGCATTCATTTACTCACTCACTTATCCCTTCGATCACTCACTGTGTGACTCGTTTTCTCACTGATTCAAGCATTCATTCACTCACGTACTCACTCACTCATCCCTTCGATCACTCACGTTGTGACTCGTCTTGTCACTGATTCAAGTATTCATTCACTCACTCACTCATCCCTCGATCACTCACTTTGTGACTCACTTTGTCACTGATTCAAGTATTCATTCACTCACTCACTCATCCCCTCGATCGCTCACTTTGTGACTCGTTTTGTCACTGATTCAAGTATTCATTCACTCACTCACTCATCCCCCGGTCACTCACTGTGTTACTCGTTTTGTCACTGATTCAAGCATTTATTCACTCACTTACTCACTCACTCATCCCTTCGATCACTCACGTTGTGACTAGTTTTGTCACTGATTCAAGTATTCATTCACTCACTCACTCATCCCCTCGATCATTAACTTTGTGACTAGTTTTGTCACTGATTCAAGCATTCATTCACTCACTCACTCATCCCCTCGATCACTCACTTTGTGACTCGATTTGTCACTGATTCAAGTATTCATTCACTCACTCACTCATCCCCTCGATCACTCACTTTGTGACCCGTTTTGTCACTGATTCAAGTATTCATTCACTCACTCACTCATCCCCTCGATCACTCACTTTGTGACTCGTTTTGTCACTGATTCAAGTATTCATTCACTCACTCACTCATCCCCTCGATCACTCACTTTGTGACTCGTCTTGTCTCTGATTCAAGTATAGATTCACTCACTCTTCCACTCCTCCCTCTATTACTCCGTTTGCGACTCAACACTTTGTGACGTACTCGATCACTTACGCACTTACGCACTTACGCATTCACTCACTCACTCACCGTGTGTGTCCATATGGTAATTCTGATAGCTCCTGACAATGGCGGAGCAAGAGCTCTGACTGGAACAGGTTCCACTCTCTCCGTGATGGATGAAGGCGTATTTCACAGCCCCGGAAAGATGGCTGACGGAGTGAGGTGCCCTGGCGCCCCACTGCGCCCTAGTCACAATGTGAGGACACCCGGCATGAGTGCTCGTACCCCCTGAAAACGAAAGTACTTTCTATATGTTACCCACGTGGGACTACGCAAAATGCCGCAAATAGACTGTTATCGCATACGTGTAATAACTGTGCGTAATAACAAATACAAGGGATCCGATTGGCTGCTATGCAAATTTTGACCTTTCTGTTACTACTTTCGGTTTATTGATTGAATGACTCATTCACAGCTTCACAAGCGTACACGTGAATGAATACCTGTATAACGCAGGTTTATCCACTAAGATAAATTGATGTGCATGCTGCATGCGCTTCACAGATATAAAAGTATCGCACACATGCCCATATGTAATTCAATGTTTCATATCAAAACAGACGTAAATATACTGATGTACAAAAGAAAGTACACACATGGTGTTTTGAGACTATTAAAAAACGTAAATATTTTGCTAGCAATGTTCCAATTGGGTACGATATCTATGGTGTTATTGCAACACGTACACAATGTTTGTGACTTGTGAGTCACAATCAAAACACTTTTCTAAATATTACGCTGTGTTCAGGAAAACATTTTACCAAAGGTGTGTACTTTCTTTTGTCCGTCATATTTTCATATAGTGTTGTGTAAAAGCTGAAGGGATCTTACTTCGAGTTATCCGAGATTCGACACAACCGATTAATTGTGGCTAAAGAATGAAAACACAGGGACCAGGCTTTACTTTGCGACAACAGTGAGAAACATCAAATTCCAACACAACGCTGTTTGACTGCACTTCAACTATCCATGATTTTGCAATAGTACTGTGTATGTTAGCTCTGTGCTAGCCCCCTCTTTGAACACACGAACCGGGCTCACAAGTACGGCGGTAGCATGTGTACTATGATGTGTACTATGGCGGCGGAACAAAGGTCAAGGTCATTTCAAGACGGAACGTCTGGTTTTGTCGCTTAATGTAACAATACATAACTAATATACCATCTCCCTAGTTCATCTGGGCACCAGTTCGTCAGCTGTGCGAAAAAAACGGTCCGAAAATGTATTTTGATACCTGTTCTTGTGACAGTTCTGAAATCAAGATGGCGGTGATCTGTTTACCTGTAGAACCTCCCGAGCAACTCTGAATGTTGACGTAATTCCCCGCAATCCAGCCGCTCTGCAACGAACATGGCATTCTTTTGAACAGTGATGTAATACACACATCGATGTAATACACACTGGTATGCATGCATTATCAGTCATACTGACCTGAGGAAATATACTGAGCGCCAATATGACAGACAAAGGACCTGCACCGAAGTTGGTATGAAACACAGATAAATGACATTTTCGCTGATCTACTTCCTTACCAAATTCTTCAAGGAGTTAAAAGATACTGAAAAATATTTTTCTTCAATCTCGGGAAATATGACAGCCCTCTTTCGACACTTTTATCAAGGAAAGGAAATACGTCCTCTGTGTTCTTTCAGTCACTTAACCGACCCTGTTCAAAACCGTATTGACCCCATTCCAAACCGTATTGACCCCTTCAAACCCGTATTAGCCCCTTCATACCCGTATTTTCCATCTTTCTTCAAGTCCGCCTTGGCCTTCAAAACATTCGCACTGGCACTCATTATCCTTATTAGACCCTCCTTAAACCCATCCGCCATAAAGCTGGCATATTGCTGAGTGCGGCGTAAAACTAAACTCACTTAAACCCGCATTTCCCTCAGTTCAGTATTGGCCCTCATCAATCCCAAAACCTCTTTGAAGCCGTATTGCCCAGCATAGCCATCATTCACCGAATCCTGTAGCGATGTATACTTTTATTTTTATATATATGTGTGTGTGTGTGCGTGCGTGCGTGCGTGCGTGCTTTTGTTTGTTGTTTTTTTGTTGTTGTGGTGTGTGTGTGTGTGTGTGTGTGTGTGTGTGTGTGTTTTGTCAGAAACCCAGCTTCTCTGTTGTTTATATTGTTCACGACACGTGAGTTAATCCATGTCAATGCAGCGTTTGTCCCCAACATATGCTCATCGTTCCTGGGATTTTGTGTCAGACAGAAATACACTGACGTACGAAGGAAGTACACACTTTGTGATTACTTTCTTTTGTGGATCAGTTTATATTTTTACGACCATACCTTCAAAACACACTTCATAACAATCCGTTATGCCCCGATAGCAAATTAATTTGTTGTAAAATCTGAGGCTGTTGACCTACTTCACAGTATTTTACTAGAATGACTTTCACTCTGAATGTAGTACCTACCTTGCCGTTGAAGTTGACATGCATCCACCCGCTGTTCTGATCGCCTTCATAGGTGGCGCAACTCCCTTTTGTCAGCACGCCAAGGATTGCATGGCTCGTTCCAACACCCGACCGGACGTGGACATCTCCTGTGGCGCATGCGCACTGAGCAGCGCTAGCTCCACGTAGAGTCGTTGCCAAGAAACCAACGGTCACCAAACTCAGCAGCATCATAAATCTTGAGACCTATGAAATAGAAATTGAACAGAAATATAAACTGAAAAGATGAAGTATTACATAAAGATAACAGTGGTCATCAATCCAGATTGTCCTAAGAAAAACATTAAAAGGAAGTTTACAATATTCCCCTTGTTAAAAAACACAAAGACATGTTTCTCAACATGCAACCATTAATTTAAGGCCTGGTAGGTCAGTGCATTTTTCACCTCTTTCCGCAGCAAGACATATTTTGTCCATTTTAGATTTTAGTCTTCGTCACTTTTCCTCAACGTAGTTCGCCCCGAAATAGCTGCAAATTTGCTGATTATGCGGGGTTAAGCCATATTCTGTCAGTTCCACCTTAACTGTATGAATTGACGACCAGGAAAATGTACCTGTTAATATATTGACTAACTGTGAAATTGTTTGTGACAATACTTGTAAACTTGTCACTGAAGTTAGGGAGTTGAGCAATTCCAACCATTGTTGCAACAATAGTCTCATTTCAACTGCTGTAGTAGTGAGTGAGTTTAGTTTTAGGCTGCACTCAGCAATTTTCCAGCTATATGGCGGTGGTCTGTAAATAACATAGTCTGGACCAGACAATTCAATGATAAACAGCATGAACATCGATCTGCGCAATTGCAAACCGACGACTTGTGTCAACCAAGTCTGCGAGACTGACCACTCGATCATGTTAGTCACCACTTACGACAAGCATGGGTTACTGAAGACCAATTCTAACCTGGACCTTCACGGGTGAAATTTAATGAAACATAATGAAGCAAAATATGGACAACAACTTCTAACCCGGATCTGCACAGATAACTGCAGTAGTAAACAAGGCCATTTATTAAAAAACGGAAAGACGAAAAGAAATAATGACCTTTCGAATTTTGTGGCCTTTCAAAACTATATCATTTGTGACCAGTGTGACAAACTTTTAAGTCATAATTTGGAATATTATAAAATCATTATTACTGTGTGTGATCGATTGCAATTCTATACAGGGGACTTCATAATCATGAATTAGTGAGTATTGCTATAGGCCTCTTTTAAAAATATCCAGTAATATCTGGGTGGGGATACTGCCAATCGGCTTTACACTTACATGTATCTTATTCACGAACCTATATGTTTGTTTATTTGTTTGTTTAAGGCCACACTCAGCAGTATTCAGTGGTTTATAATACAGCCTGGAACAGACAAACCAGTGATCAACAGTATGAGCATCGATCTCAATGACATGAGTCAACCAAGTCAACGAGCCTGACCACTCGATCCAGTTTGTCGCGTCTTACGACAAGCATGGGTTGCTGAAAACCTATTCTACCCCGGACCTTCACGGGCAGTAATATATACGTCAATAGATGATTAGAGTCACAGTCACATGTGGCACTAGAGGAAACCCGTATCATATAGCACTAGAGGAAACCCGTATCATATAGCACTAGAGGAAACCCGTATCATATAGCACTAGAGGAAACCCGTATCATATACACTACTGATACACAAGTGCACACAAAATACCATCTGATTCTGAATTTAAATGGACCGCCTCCGTGGTGTAGTGGTTACAGCGCCCGCCCGGAGAGCGGAAGGTTGCGGGTTCGATCCCCGACCGCGTCATACCAAAAGACGTTAAAATATGGTACTTGTTGGTCCCTGTCTGGCGCTCGGCATTAATGGGTACAACAAGGACTGGTCGGCTCGGAGTCAGTATACTGTGTCTGAGTGGGGTATTCATGCATGGTATCTCAGTGAGCTGGCACTATAAAACCAGCTTAAGTCTGGGCTAGTACAAGCAGCCGCACCTACACATACACACGCATGCACGTCGTCATATGAGCGAAATATTCTCAAGCAGGACGTTAAACCCAACTTCACCTCACCTCACCTGAATTTAAATGAGCATGTGTGAGGGAATGAGTGAGTTTAGTTTTACACCACACTCAGCAATATTCCAGCGATATGGTGGGGATCTGCACATAATCGAGTCTGGACCAGACAATCCAGTCATCAACAACATGAGCATCGATCTGAGCATTTGGGATCCGATGACATATAAGTCCCTCACGATAAGCATGGGTTACTGAAGACCAATTCTAACCCGGACCTTCACGGGTGACATTTAATGAAATATAATGAAGCAAACGATGGACAACAACTTCTAGTTTATTACATACACCGGGGGCGGTGGGGTAGCCTAATGGTTAAAGCGTTGGCTCGTCACGCCGAAGACCCGGGTTCGAATCCACAATGCGTGAAGCCCATTTCTGGTGTCCCTGGTGATGTTGCTGGAATATTGCTAAAAGCGGCGTTAAACCAAACTCAGTGAGTCAGTCAGTCAGTACATACACCGACGTTTACGTGTCAGTAGATTTTTTACACCGTTATCAAGTTAAACGCAATAAACATGAAGTTATAGGAATGACGTCTATATGGATGATCAGCTTCTTATTGTACAATAGCGACGTTACGGTAGAGATACTAATACCGTTTTCAAGCTTGAGGTGGTGAATGAATACAGCAGGCTATATATAGGGTACACGAGGGCTAACAAAGACAATGGATGAGAAACAAGATGATTAACAATGAAAACTATCATACATATACATGAAATAAGCCGAGGCAAGATAATGGCATGATGAATAGGCTACCAGTGATATGGCTTACAGCTTCTAGAATTCGTCTCAAACAGTTCATGAAGTTGTTACCTACAAAGTCGTGTGCTTCATTATTGACTCACCTACTTCTGAAATGGCGACCAAATAATTAAATGAAAGATGTTAAGATTTTTTCTCCTGTGGGATGTTTTCTGTTTGATGTCATGGACATAACATGATTTAACGGAATGGTTAACTGTCTGTCGGTTCAAAATAGGAAAGCAAGCATTCAACTGTCTGGAGCGATGGTAACCTACCTTCTTGTGTGGACCAAGTTAGAGGAACAAGTATTTGGCCTTATCTCCAGTGGTATGGAGGACCGCTTTAGCCATATACTTAGAGGTGATGACACGTCGGCGAGCCTGACCAACCAATTTCATTAATGGCCTCTAACCACAAGAATGGGTTGCTGAAGATTAATCCTAACCCGGATCTTCACGGGTCTCTTCCAAAGGGAAACTTCTCCAGAACCAAACGTCTTTGACCTCTGGAGTGAGTTAAGATTTAACGTCACATCGGCAATATTTCAGCCATATTGCGACGAGAACATGTTTGACAATGAAATGAAACGTGTATATTATATAAACCTGTCGTCAAAGGACAGTAAAACAACTAGCTAGAGAATATCACAATAAGAGTTAAAACTAGTATGGAAAGTTAAAATTAATAGCACTATTTGGACAACACAATATAAAACCAGGCTATAGATCACCAACAACTGAAAGTAGATCACCATACTGGGGACTATGGGGACTTACAGTATCTTTGCTACCTGTTGGACCCTAGCTGGATTTACACAATCCCGTCAGCTGTTGAAGAGTGTAAGAAATGTAAGCCAAAATTAAAATAACAAGAATACTACGATTAAAAATCCTGGTAAGTTTGAATTGACTTTGAAAGTTTTGGGACTAACGTACCCTCTCAGGAGGACAATAATTTTACGCTACTTCGACCCCCTTTGAGGATACAGCCACTAACAATCTAAGCTGATAATCTGAACTACCAATTATAAACCTGTATCTATTTACAAAACATATTATATCAAATTCCTTTAACAAATATATCTCTTTTAAAAAATCAATGATTAAATGATAACTGACTTTATTAAAAAGATCCTCGACTGTTTAGTGAAATATTTATCCCTTACGATGGAGAGTTCAACACAGTTTGACCTCAGGATGACCATCCACCCGAGTATGTCACGCCCAGCTAAACACCAACCAAACCAAACCTAAAAAACTATAGTTGAAATGCGTTCTAATTGTTGAACCCAACTCACTTTACACGGCAACTTTCATTTCATATTTAAACAACGTCCGTGCAAAACAATACACAATGTCCTCAAAACCCAATCATAAATGACAGCATAGTCGTGCAAATCAGTGATGACACCAGGTGTTCGCGAAAAGGGAAAACATGTCATTCCCTTTTGGTAGGGTCGCCATCAATACGACCTGCATTAAAATCTAAGTGTTTATAGGTTGACCCCTGACATCCCAAGGTGCCCTGTTTACAAACCACACAATCGGGTGATTGATAGATCAGGAAATAACACTGAAATTAAATAAACCTTTAGAAATAAATCTTTACAGATCACAAAGACGCAAATTTTATGTGGCAGATTTTCCTACCGTAAATTGAATATAACGATGCAATTCTTATCAACAAAAGTGTGGCAAAGGCTAAGCAAACACCACATACCAACATGGAATCTATGGATTCATTAACATTCCCTTACACAGAACTGTATTTTAACTTCTGATTCGGTGTAAATTGTACTTCAGGGAATTGTTTGCCCTATACAGACTTTGCATTTTTTCAATAAATTTTGCCACTTTTTCAAAACAATTTACCAGATAATAACTCTATCCGAAAACTAGGGCACGTCAATGGCACACCTACTTACTGTTATCAAAAGACATGATTGCTGCAATTCTATCTCCGTTTTCTGATTAATGGGAGTGGCACCTATCCCAGGCCAAATCGTGCTTCCACTTATCAAAATATTAACATTCATGAAATATGAATAACCTTTCACCTGTGTGTTCTGACGTGATTTCCGTTTGACAGGTAAGATGGAATACCACCTGCCTTTGACCTCACCCGTGAAGATCAGGGTTACAATTGATCTTCAGCAACCAATGCTTGCTGCCAAAGGAGACTAACGTGATGGGGAGCTCAAGTTCGCTGACTTGGTTGGCACGTCATCGTATCCAAGTTGCGTAGATTGATGCTCATTCTGTTGATCACTGGATTGTCTGGTCCAGATTCGATTATTTACAGACTGCCGCCATATAGCTGGAATATTGCAGAGGGCGGCGAAAACTAAACTTACTCACTCACTCAATTCTCGCATTTATGTTCATGATTTAGTTATTTCAAGTTGACAGTGTTGTACGTTGCTGTCATCTTGGTTACATCAGGGCTACATCTGGGTTACATCTGGATATATTCTTCATCGTGTTTTTAATCACCGGATTGCCTGGTCCAGACTCGATTATTTACAGACAGCCACCATATAGCTGGAATATTGCTGAGTGCGGCGTTAAACAACAAACCAACCAACGTTTGACCTCACATCGGCTAACAAACGTTAACAAAACAGTTTTTTGCAAGTCATTTCTCCGTTAATCCTGACACTAGTTCAACTGAACGTCCGCATTAAAGAGGGTCGAGTGTTGCCACATGGAAAGAACAGTAATAATGTGTAAGTTTCAAAGTCGGATACACAACGCTCTGGAAGGACGTCAAGACGATAAAGCAGGATCTCGACATCTGTCAAAATCTGTTACGATGTTTTGAAATATGTCCTGACGTTCTAGAAAACGAAAAGTCTTTTTGTGTAGACCTGTTTTGATAACGTGTAATAGAACAAGAATCCTTAACTAGCAATCACGAAACTCGGTGTTTTTGAGTTAGGATTCCGAAGTCCAATAAAGTATCAGGTGGTGTTTTTCAGGCTATCATCTTCTTTTTTTTTGATTCTTGTTGCTTTGTTTTGCTTTTTTGCTTATTGAGGGGTTTTGGGGGTTGTTTTTTTGTTTGTTGGGTTTTTTGGGGGGAGGGGGGAGGCTTTTCTTAGTTTGTTTGTTTTGTTTTTGTTTTGTTTTTTGCCCTATTTGCTATTGCTATATGACAAGGATAACCATTACATACGTTGACAGCAATATTCCTCAGGCTGCAGTAAGCGATGTCGGTAGGATTGTCAGCTAACGGTAAGCATTTAAACGGGGTTTTTTTATTTACCCTTTGTGTAACATTAAGTATAAAGTCAGGATCTTTTTAATAAAAAACATCTGTTCTATTTTTCAGCTCAAGATGGGACTCCTTATTGTACTAGCACTATCGGTTTTCTCCTTACATACCGCCAAGGCAGCAAAATGCGCATGCGCAAATACGTCAGTGCATGTCCGGTCAGGACCCGGAACCACCCATGGTATTCTGGGAACTGTCAATGTAGGGCGTTGTTTGCCTTTCAAAGGAGACGAAAGTAAATCTGGTGTATATGAATGGGCCCACGTGGACAGGGAAGGTACGTCTGAAATGAGTGAAGTGAAGCAGTTATTCGCCACCTTCAACATGTCAGTTCGGTAGCCTGGCGGTTAAAGCGTCCGCTCTTCACGACCAGGATCTGCGTCGATTTCACATATGAAAAAAGGCCATTTCTTGTGTGTCCCGTTTAAATATCACTTAAACGGCATATAACCATACCCCTCACTCTTATCCGTTATTTTCATTGATTAATCAACTTCTAAGTAATAATAAGGTATTGAATTGTCTCACAAAAATAACAAATGTATGCCTTTATCTTGCACTCATATTTTTTTATTGGAGTGAGTGAGTGAGTTAAAATTTAAAGTCACATCGGCAATATCTCAGCCATATCGTGACTAAAACTAGTTCTAAATCCAAAATACATACAAATATTTTATAAAACCCTGTCAACGAAGGACAGTAAAATAACTAGATTATCACAAAATGAATTAAAACTAGCTAGCTTATATCTTTAAAAGTAGAAAACTATTTTTGGACAATACAATGTAAAAATGGGCTAGTAATCGCCAACAACTGAAGGTAGATCACCATACTAGGGACCATGGGGACTTACAGTGCCTTTATTACCTGCATGGACCCTAGCTGGATTTACACCATCCCTTCAGCCATTGGCGTTTATGCTGAGATTTAGCCATACATTAAAATGACAAAAATACTACGATTAAAAACCTGGTAGACTTAAATTTACTTGAAATGTTTTGGGACTTACGTATCCTCTCAGGAGGACAATATTTTTACGCTACGTCAACCCCCTTCGAAGGTACAGCCACTCACAAATTCAGTTTCCTTTTTTTATAGGATGGTTGGATTGCTGAGAATTACGTTATAATCAAGGAATGTCCTGCAAGCAAAGGTTTGATGAAGCAGTTTATGTTTGTTTTCATCAACATAATATCACCTTAACTTATGAATGCTCACGTCCAACATGAAGCAGGAGATTCTGTGGAGGTTGACGTGGTTAACGTCGGCCGATTGTAGGTAGTCACCGACGCTCATTTCACGAACGCCTAGAGAGTAATTGCGTGTAATATTAACAATTACAGTGTTACATGTTAAAATGTTCAATAAATTTGTTGGACTGATAACTTGTGCAAAAATATAATATAGTGACGTATTATTTATGGTACTTAAGGTCTTACAGCCTTTAGGTATGAATATCTTTTAGAAATAAGACAACATCCCATGTCGTCTTGCTATATGACAATGAATCTGGGCATCCCATGCATTTAGCCGCTCCAACAACTTGCCTCTCGATCTGCTGTCACTCGTCACCACTCACCCAATTTTCCCGGAATAACTCGAGTTGGATTAGATGTATCCGCGAGTACGGAAAGGGACGGAAAAGGACGAATGTCTGTATCCGCAAATACGGAAAGGGACTGATAAGGACGAATTTCTGTATCAGCGAATGCGGAAAGGGACGAATGTCTGTATGTGCAATTACGCAAAGGGACGCAAAAGGACGAATTTCTGTAATCCGCGAATACGTAAACGGACTGAAAGGGACGAATTTGGCCGAAAGGTTTACATAACGCATAACAATAATTCACCATAAATTGAAAAAGGTTCCAAGATAAACATCATTTTAGGATTTACTTCCACGTGTAGTGGCCAGGGCCTAGATTTTCGAAGCTCTCTTAGTGCTGAGATCGTCGTAAGTGCCATACACTAACAGTAACTTACGACTATCTTAGCGCTAAGAGAACTTCGAAAATCTAGGACCAGGCATAGATTGACTGAAATGTTGGTTAACGTTGAATGAAAAAACAACAACTTAAGCACACAGTCGCGTTTTACAAAATCAACTATTTTGATACAATTTTCCCAAACATTGTACATTGTCTTGAAGTTGCAGAGGTCACTGTTGCAGGAACCAGCACTAATGACGGTTGTCCCACCATCGTAACGAGATCTCAGTAGGGAGCAAGAGCACCGACATCCAGAAGTCTTCTACACGGCGCGGTCAAGTATGCTTTCATCCATCATGGCGCTAGTGCCGCGTGTCACACAGAGACTGAGTGTGCCGCCATTGTCAGAGGGTACCAGCGATACCACATGGACGGACATCGTACGTTGTTGATCTGTGTTAGAAGCAAGCTGATACAGAATCATTAAAAATTGTCCTCCACATGCTATTGCCCGGTGGAAAGAAGGGACGCTAGCGCCAGTTATTGGTCACAGCGGAAGAGTGATATATAGGAACCTAAATCTCGTAAAAATACGTGCACCCTGCTATCGACAGTCCGGGCAAATGTCTTACATGTGACTTCCTGCAGAGTATTCACACGTTACAACTTAGATTGTTGTACGGGTGATGATATTTTGTAATACTACTGTGAATAAAAGTACACCACACATTGTACAAGGGCCCAGTTTAGCAACTTTAATTATGAATGAGTCAATGATCAATGGTCTTTCTAATTCATATTAATGGCATGTTTACCTATCAACTCTTCTGCGGGCATTTAGGGACAGTTCATAATATATGGCTAGGTGGGGGTGATGATGATTTTAAGGGGGGTTACCCATTTTGTTCTGGGGAGCTGGACGGGGGCATTAATTTTGTACACATGTACTAGGGGGCAGCAATTTTGCACATAAAAATATGTTTAAACTTATGCTTGGAAATTATGGTGAGGGAGGGGGTATTTATTTTGTACATGACATACGGGGATCACTTATTTTGTACATAACTTTTAGGGGGTCATTCACATTGTCCCTGTTTCTCCATAAAAATCATCATTCCCCCCTCCCTCCCCACTACCCCACCCAAGCCATACATTATGAACGGTCCCTTACGAAGACGGTGACAAGTGCAAGGGCAGTTAATTCATAGTCTCATAGAAGTGATGTCCCTTAAATTCCAATTTCAGCAGGTAAAGCAGCCTAGTCCAACATTTCCGGTAGCATGTGATTTGTCAATTGCATCATTATGTTTACAGTTTCACACATTTATATTTCTTTCCTGGATGCAGTATTTGGAACAAAAAATGTCGAACTCTCTTTTTCAAATCGAATATTTTTCATAATCACTAAATGTCATGTGTCTTTCTCTCAGACTGGAACGACATTGGCTACAGTTTTGTCATCGGCGAAGACGGCAACGCCTACGAAGGTCGTGGCTGGGACGCAATGGGTGCTCACACTCAAGGCTACAACTCAGTGGGCCTTGGTAAGACTGATTAGTGAACCCCTGTTAATCCGGACAATACCGACCAAGTGAGATCGCCCAGAATAACGAATCGTGGAAAATGAGTAGTGTCACTTTATTTGGTTTAATTACATGCAAGCATTCCCAGCATTCCTCGCCCAAGAGTTGTATTTACAGTTTAACAGGATCCGGACTAAAAAGGTTTCACTGTACCGTCCTTTCAGGCGTGAAGAATGTCTGATGCCTCGCCACCTTCTATGTTACGGTTATGTTACCAACAGACACAGCCGTACTGTTACCAACACATAACATTATATTCATACCAAGAGACAGAGACAGTTGTAGTGTTACCAAAACATGGCACTGTACTCTTACCAACAAAGCTGCACTGTTATTAACGCATACCGTTGTACCGTTACAAATACAAACCACAGACACAGTTGTACTGTTATCAACGCATACCATTGTACTGTTAACCACAGACACAGTTGTACTGTTACTAATACAAACCACAGACACAGTTGTACTGTTATCAACGCATACCACTGTACTCTTAACCACAGACACAGTTGTACTGTTATCAACGCACACCACTGTACTCTTAACCACAGACACATTTGTACTGTTACCAACGCACACCACTGTACTCTTAACCACAGACACATTTGTACTGTTATCAACGCATACCATTGTACTCTTAACCACACACACAGTTGTACTCTTACCAACACAAACCATTGTACTGTTACATATGTCACTCGCTGACCACCCGCCGCCATATAGCTGGAATATTGCTGAGTGCGGCGTAAAACTCAACTCACTCACTCGCTGACCACCCCCTACTTTTCGCCAGGTTTCTGTATGATCGGCAACTTCATGGAGCGTCTCCCTAACGCCAAGGCCCTGGACACGGTCCAGAAGTTGATAGCCTGTGGGGTGGCTAAAGGCAAGATCCAGTCCAACTATATTCTTAGGGGACACCGAGACATGGGCAGCACAGCATGTCCAGGGACCAAACTGTATGCCCTCATCAAGACGTGGCCTCATTACTAACAATGAACAAACTGGCTAAATCACGCTATTTGTGAATAAACTGTTTCTGCAAAGCGTTCTGTTCGACGACATTCGATTATGCGTGTGTGCAATGCATGCATTGAGAGGGAGTTTCTTTGAGTGCTTGAATGAGTGAGCCAGCGGTCGGGTGAGTGAGTGTCAAGATGAAGATTTAAGATGAGATAAAAAATATTAAGATGTCATAATCCGAGACAGGGGAAAGTGTGACGAGGTAAAACATTGAAGATGGGAAAATGCAAACGTGTCACATGATAATGCAAAGATTCATATTTTGAAGATGAGACAATGTAAAAATGGCATATTTGGAACATGGGGAAAAGTAAAGATGTTAGAGATTGAAAATGTGAATTTGTCATTATATCAAGATGGGAAACTGTGAAGCTGTCATATTAGGAAAAGTCAAGATGTCTTAGTTTGAACAAGCTAAAAAGGAAATATGTCATTATTTCAAGGGGGAAAAGTGTGAATGTATCACAATTTGAGAATTTTAAGATATCAGTACTAAAGATGAGAAAGTTATGAAATTATGGACCTCTCACTCCATTTACACCATTGGTTTGCTTAGCCCAGATTCGACCATTTACAGTTCGCCATCAGGTGGCAATGCTGGGTCGGTATTGTGGCGGTGTTGTAAATGTGCTCCCTCGTCACGCCTAGCATCTAGGTTCGAATTCTTGCTCTTGTACAAAATGTTCAGGTGTTCTATACCTTGATTATCAAAGCAAATATTTCTCAAATTGGCTTCACTCAGTCCATTCAACGAACGCTCTCACTATCTGACTCTGTTCGGTAAAAATAGGTTATCTTGTTCTGCTTATTTCCAGACTAGGTCATTTTTCTGTGTGTTTCTGCTACTGGTCCAGCTCTCAAGGCAAGTAAAACTTATACGCCGACTAAATTTATAAGTTGATCAAACTGAAATGAGAAGGCCATGTGTTGAGCTGTAACGTTGCTATCCCAAGGTATACTAATTGTTATTCACAAAACAATAAACCAATCGAGGATTGGTTTTCCCACTTCAAGGAATTGTTTTCAACCTCTACAGGGAATGAGGAGAGTTTTTGTGCTACCTATTAATTGAATGAATTCGATAAGTCGTTTTGCCAGTTAACTTCAGAGATTCTTGATTCACCTATAACAAGAAATGAAATTTCAGAAAGTATTGCAAATTTAAAATGTAATAAATCTGCCGGTGAAGATAACTTGATTCCTGAATTCTTTAAATATTCATCCGACATTATCCTCCCCTGCCTTGAAATCCTCTTTAATGTTATTCTTGAAAAGTCTTTCTTTCCCGAACAGTGGGCTTTGGGGATTGTGATTCCCTTGCACAAACAGGGATCAACTAATGACACCAACAATTATAGGGGTATAACTCTTTTGAGTGTTTTCAGTAAGATTTTTACCAGTATTATACATAGATGTTTAGTATTTTGGGCCAATCCCTTTGATAAGATAGAGGAAACACAAGCCGGTTTCAGGCACGGGTACTCTACAACTGATAATGTCTTTATTTTGCAGACACTTGTGCAGAAATATGTAGCCCGAAAGGGGGAAAAAATGTATGCCATATTTGTAGATTTTGCTAAAGCGTTTGACCCCGTTAAGAGAAACATGCTGTGGTCCCATTGTAAACCTCAAGGTATCAGTACTAAAATTGGTAAATTATTAAACTGCATTTACCACAACGTAAAGGCTTGTGTTCGAAACAATAACAACCTATCTGATTTCTTCTGGTGTAACATTGGGGCAAGACAAGGATGCATTTCTAAGTCCTTTTCTGTTTTCGTTCTTCATCAACGAACCATCGCTACAAATATATGAAAACTGTAACAAGGGCATCCAATTGCCTCCAGAAACTATGAAACTTTTTCTGCTTCTTTTTGCTGATGATATTGTATGTTCGCGAGCACAGTACCTAGACTTCAAAAGCTAATAAATCAACTTGAGTACTACTGTAAACAATGGAAACTGAATGCCAATATCGATAAGACAAAGGTCATAGTTTTCAAAATGGAGGAAATTATCAAAACGTGAAAAATGGTTTTATAAAGGTAAAAGATTGGAGGTCGTAAGAAGTTACAAATACTTGGGTGTACTTTTACAAATCGAGTATCTTGGTCATTGCACTGCAACAAAGCCGCACTACAGGCTAAAAAAATTAATAGGCATTTTAAGAACCATAACGCCGCTTCCAAATATTAGCTTTGACACCTTTTTCAAAACCTTTGACACTAAGATTAGTCCTATTCTACTCTATGGTGCAGAAGTATAGGGGCCAAGAAATCTATGACATACTAGAGAAGGTACATCTATATGCGTGCAAAAGATTTTTAGGAGTAAACTCCAACACCCCAAATGTTACAGTTTATGAGGAATGTGGGATATACCTTATGTATATATTTAGTTACATAAAAGTAATAAAATATTGGATAAGATTGTATAAAATCCCAAGCACCAGATTCCCCAAAAAATGTTACAACATGATGATACTGCACACATGACAGTATTCATCAAATACAAAGACAAATATATGCTTTAGCACCCATAATACACCTCTAATGCACTGTTGCAAATGTAAGTATATGCATGAGAATACATGAAAAAAATCAAATCTTACCTTTGCAATGAAAATACGCGAAATCGATGACTGAAGTCAACACACGTTTTTGCCGGCTTCCGGATAGGCTGCGCAGTACAAGCCATAGCGCTGATGGTTTTGTGCACTGGCTAGAGGGCCGTCCCTCTATTATACGGTCTCTGATTTCACATATGAAAAAAGGCCATTTCTTGTGTGTCCCGTTTAAATATCACTTAAACGGCATATAACCATACCCCTCACTCTTATCCGTTATTTTCATTGATTAATCAACTTCTAAGTTATAATAAGGTATTGAATTGTCTCACAAAAATAACAAATGTATGCCTTTATCTTGCACTCATATTTTTTTATTGGAGTGAGTGAGTGAGTTAAAATTTAAAGTCACATCGGCAATATCTCAGCCATATCGTGACTAAAACTAGTTCTAAATCCAAAATACATATAATATATAAAACCCTGTCAACGAAGGACAGTAAAATAACTAGATTATCACAAAATGAATTAAAACTAGCTAGCTTATATCTTTAAAAGTAGAAAACTATTTTTGGACAATACAATGTAAAAATGGGCTAGTAATCGCCAACAACTGAAGGTAGATCACCATACTAGTGACCATGGGGACTTACAGTGCCTTTATTACCTGCATGGACCCTAGCTGGATTTACACCATCCCTTCAGCCATTGGCGTTTATGCTGAGATTTAGCCATACATTAAAATGACAAAAATACTACGATTAAAAACCTGGTAGACTTAAATTTACTTGAAATGTTTTGGGACTTATGTACCCTCTCAGGAGGACAATATTTTTACGCTACGTCAACCCCCTTCGAAGGTACAGCCACTCACAAATTCAGTTTCCTTTTTTTATAGGATGGTTGGATTGCTGAGAATTACGTTATAATCAAGGAATGTCCTGCAAGCACAGGTTTGATGAAGCAGTTTATGTATGTTTTCATCAACATGATATCACCTTAACTTATGAATGCTCACGTCCAACATGAAGCAGGAGATTCTGTGGAGGTTGACGTGGTTCACGTCGGCCGATTGTAGGTAGTCACCGACGCTCATTTCACGAACGCCTAGAGAGTAATTGCGTGTAATATTAACAATTACAGTGTTACCTGTTAAAATGTTCAATAAATTTGTTGGACTGATAACTTGTGCAAAAATATAATATAGTGACGTATTATATATGGTACTTAAGGTCTTACAGCCTTTGGGTATGAATATCTTTTAGAAATGAGACAACATCCCATGCCGTCTTGCTATATGACAATGGATCTGGGCATCCCATGCATTTAGCCGCTCCAACAACTTGCCTCTCGATCTGCTGTCACTCGTCACCACTCACCCAATTTTCCCGGAATAACTCGAGTTGGATTAGATGTATCCGCGAGTACGGAAAGGGACGGAAAAGGACGAATGTCTGTATCCGCAAATACGGAAAGGGACGGAAAAGGACGAATTTCTGTATCAGTGAATGCGGAAAGGGACGAATGTCTGTATGCGCAATTACGCAAAGGGACGGAAAAGGACGAATTTGGCCGAAAGGTTTACTTAACGCATAACAATAATTCACCATAAATTGAAAAAGGTTCCAAGATAAACATCATTTTAGGATTTACTTCCACGTGTAGTGGCCAGGGCCTAGATTTTCGAAGCTCTCTTAGTGCTGAGATCGTCGTAAGTGCCATACATTAACAGTAACTTACGACTATCTTAGCGCTAAGAGAACTTCGAAAATCTAGGCCCAGGCACAGATTGACTGAAAAGTTGGTTAACGTTGAATGAAAAAAAAACCAACTTAAGCACACAGTCTCGTTTTACATAATTAACTATTTTGATACAATTTTCCCAAACATTGTACATTGTCATGAAGTTGCAGAGGTCACTGTTGCAGGAACCAGCACTAATGACGGTTGTCCCAACATCGTAACGAGATCTCAGTGGGGAGCAACAGCACCGACATCCAGAAGTTTTCTACACGGCGCGGTCAAGTATGCTTTCATCCATCATGGCGCTAGTGCCGCGTGTCACACAGAGACTGAGTGTGCCGCCATTGTCAGAGGGTACCAGCGATACCACATGGACGGACATCGTACGTTGTTTATCTGTTAGAAGCAAGCTGAAAGGGACTTTCAATTTTGTACATAAAAATATGTTTAAAATTATGTTTAGAAATTATGGTAAGGGGAGGGGGGTCATTTATTTTGTACATGACATACGGGGGGTCACTTATTTTGTACATAAGTTTTAGGGGGGTCATTCACATTGTCCCTGCTTCTCCATAAAAAATATCATCACCCAACCCCCACCCCCACTCCCCCAATATTTGGAACAAAACTTTCGACAACTTGCTTTTCAAATGGAATATTATTTTCATAATCACTAAATGTCATGTGTCTTTCTCACAGACTGGAACGACATTGGCTACAGTTTTGTCATCGGCGAAGACGGCAACGCCTACGAAGGTCGTGGCTGGGACGCAGTGGGTGCTCACACTCAAGGCTACAACTCAGTGGGTCTTGGTAAGACTGATTAGTGAACCCCTGTTAATCCGGACACTACCGACCAAGTGAGATCGCCCAGAATAACACTTAAAAGGAGTAGTGTCACTTTGGTTTAATTACATGCAAGCATTCCCAGCATTCCTCGCCCAAGAGTTGTATTTACAGTTAAACAGGATCCGGACTAAAAAGGTTTCACTGTACCGTCCTTTCAGGCGTGAAGAATGTCTGATGCCTCGCCACCTTCTATGTTACGGTTATGTTACCAACAGACACAGCTGTACTGTTACCAACACATAACATTATATTCATACCAAGAGACAAAGACAGTTGTACTGTTACCAACACATAACATTATATTCATACCAAGAGACAGAGACAGAGACACAGTTGTAGTGTTACCAAAACATGCCACTGTACTCTTACCAACAAAGCTGTACTGTTATCAACGCATACCATTGTACTGTTAACCACAGACACAGTTGTACTGTTACCAATACAAACCACAGACACAGTTGTACTGTTATCAACGCATACCACTGTACTCTTAACCACAGACACAGTTGTACTGTTATCAACACATACCATCGTACTCTTAACCACAGACACAGCTGTACTCTTATCAACGCATACCATTGTATTGTTACATATGTCACTCGCTGACCACCCCCTACTTTTCCCCAGGTTTCTGTGTGATCGGCAACTATATGGAACGCCTCCCCAACTCCAAGGCCCTGGACACGGTCCAGAAGTTGATAGCCTGTGGGGTGGCTAAAGGAAAGATCCAGACCAACTATATTCTCAGGGGACACCGAGACATGGGCAGCACAGCATGTCCAGGGACCAAACTGTATGCCCTCATCAAGACGTGGCCTCATTACTAACAATGAACAAACTGGGAGGCTAAATCACGCTATTTGTGAATAAACTTTTTCTGCAAAGCGTTCTGTTCGACGACATTCGATTATGCGTGTGGCAATACATGCATTGAGAGGGAGTTTCTTTGAGTGCTTGAATGAGTGAGCCATCGGTCGGGTGAATGAGTGTCAAGATGAAGATTTAAGATGAGAGAAAATATTAAGATGTCATAATCCGAGACAGGGGAAAGTGTGACGATGTAGAACATTGAAGATGGGAAAATGCAAACGTGTCACATGATAATGCAAAGATTCATATTTTGAAGATGTAAAAATGGCATATTTGGAACATGGGGGAAAAGTAAAGATGTTAGAGATTGAAAATGTGAATTTGTCATTATATCAAGATGGGAAACTGTGAAGCTGTCATATTAGGAAAAGTCAAGATGTCATAGTTTGAACAAGCTAAAAAGGAAATATGTCATTATTTCAAGGGGGAAAAGTGTGAATGTATCACAATTTGAGAATTTTAAGATATCAGTATTAAAGATGAGAAAGTTATGAAATTATGGACCTCGCACTCCATTTACCATTGGTTTGCTTAGCCCAGATTCGACCATTTACAGTTCGCCATCAGGTGGCAATGCTGGGTCGGTATTGTGGCGGTGTTGTAAATGTGCTCCCTCGTCACGCCTAGCATCTAGGTTCGAATTCTTGCTCTTGTACAAAATGTTCAGGTGTTCTATACCTTGATTATCAATGCAAATATTTCTCAAATTGGCTTCACTCAGTCCATTCAACGAACACTCTCACTATCTGACTCTGTTCGGTAAAAATAGGTTATCTTGTTCTGCTTATTTCCAGACTAGGTCATTTTTCTGTGTGTTTCTGCTCCTGGTCCAGCTCTCAAGGCAAGTAAAACTTATACGCCGACTTAATTTATAAGTCGATCAAACTGAAATGAGAAGGCCATGTGTTGAGCTGTAACGTTGCTATCCCAAGGTATACTAATTGTTATTCACGAAACAATAAACCAATCGAGGATTGGTATTCCCACTTCAAGGAATTGTTTTCACCCTCTACAGGGAATGAGGAGAGTTTTTGTGCTACCTATAAATTGAATGAATTCGATAAGTCGTTTTGCCAGTTAACCTCAGAGATTCTTGATTCACCTATAACAAAAAATGAAATTTCAGAAAGTATTGCAAATTTAAAATGTAATAAATCTGCCGGTGAAGATAACTTGATTCCTGATTCTTTAAATATTCATCCGACATTATCCTCCCCTGCCTTGAAATCCTCTTTAATGTTATTCTTGAAAATTCTTTCTTTCCCGAACAGTGGGCTTTGGGGATTGTGATTCCCTTGCACAAACAGGGATCAACTAATGACACCAACAATTACAGGGGTATAACTCTTTTGAGTGTTTTCAGTAAGATTTTTACCAGTATTATACATAGACGTTTAGTATTTTGGGCCGATGCCTTTGATAAGATAGATGAAGCACGAGTCGGTTTCAGGCACGGGTACTCTACAACTGATAATGTCTTTATTTTGCAGACACTTGTGCAGAAATATTAGCCCGAAAGGGGGAAAAAATGTATGCCATATTTGTAGATTTTGCTAAAGCGTTTGACTCCGTTAAGAGAAGCATCCTGTGGTCCCATTGTAAGTCTCAAGGTATCAGTACTAAAATTGGTAAATTATTAAACTGCATTTACCACAACGTGAAGGCTTGTGTTCGAAACAATAACAACCTATCTGATTTCTTCTGCTGTAACATTGGGGCAAGACAAGGATGCATTTCTAAGTCCTTTTCTGTTTTCGTTCTTCATCAACGAACCATCGCTACAAATATATGAAAACTGTAACAAGGGCATCCAATTACCTCCAGAAACTATGAAACTTTTTCTGCTTCTTTTTGCTGATGATATTGTATGTTCGCGAGCACAGTACCTAGACTTCAAAAGCTAATAAATCAACTTGAGTACTACTGTAAACAATGGAAACTGAATGCCAATATCGATAAGACAAAGGTCATAGTTTTCAAAAATGGAGGGAAATTATCAAGACGTGAAAAATGGTTTTATAAAGGTAAAAGATTGGAGGTCGTAAGAAGTTACAAATACTTGGGTGTACTTTTTACAAATCGAGTATCTTGGTCATTGCACTGCAACAAAGCCGCACTACAGGCTAAAAAAAATTAATAGGCATTTTAAGAACCATAACGCCGCTTCCAAATATTAGCTTTGACACCTTTTTCAAAACCTTTGACACTAAGATTAGTCCTATTCTACTCTATGGTGCAGAAGTATAGGGGCCAAGAAATCTATGACATACTAGAGAAGGTACATCTATATGCGTGCAAAAGATTTTTAGGAGTAAACTCCAACACCCCAAATGTTACAGTTTATGAGGAATGTGGGAGATACCTTATGTATATATTTAGTTACATAAAAGTAATAAAATATTGGATAAGATTGTATAAAATCCCAAGCACCAGATTCCCCCAAAAATGTTACAACATGATGATGCTTTACGATGATAGAGGTAAAAATAACTGGACCTCTGGTGTCAGAAAGATACTTCAGTCTTACGGCTATGATTACATCTGGACAGAACAAAATATAACAGCACCAGAGCATTTTATATATGATTTAACACAAAGGCTGAAAGATGTGTCATTTCAAAAGTGGCACTTTTCACTATGTTTACACAATAAGTTAAACCATTACTCCTGTTTTAAATCATTCATGCTTATAGAAAAATATCTTCTAGACAATAATGTTAAGAACTTCAGTACAGCACTAGCCAGTTTCAGATATATAGTTTGGCATGATATGCATGTGGACCCGTTTTTTTGTAAATATCTCTTCATCCAATGACCCAATCGATCTCAAACTGTGCAAGTGGATGTTTTTTCAGACAACCTAATCACATTGTAAATCACCGATTTTATGCATTTGTATTAAAGAATCTGTCTATGTAACTGTCAACAAAATCAACAGCAGAACGCAGAATGCTTGCAGAGGGAGGGAGCCAATGACCTGTAACAGCGGCAGTGTTGGGTCATAAAGGTCAATGCACGTGCAGTTCATGATAGTTACCTGTGCACTGCACAGTGAAAGACCGTTTGGATCATTCACATTGACTACTTCTATCTGTCATCATGAAAGCTTATTCAGATGATGCTAAACGTTTAATTAGAAATGTGTTGAATTTTGTTAAAAAAATAGAGCAAACGTAGCAAACCGATTTATAAGGTGTCGTATAACATGAGACGTACAAATTTTGCTCTTGGCATGAAATAGAACATCGTGCTAACAATTGTGAAAAATAAACCAACAACCAATCAACAAAACCTTGTACAAAAAGGTAGGCATCCAAAATTAGATACTTTTGACATCAGGGCCATCAGAGATGTCGCGGGCTATTTGCTAGAAATGAACACCTCTTCATACCTGTCACGTGCATAGCTGACCTATATTGACGAACGTTGACCTTTATGACCCAACACTGCCGCTGTTACAGGTCATTTGCTCCCTCCCTCTGCAAGCATTCTGCGTTCTGCTGTTGATTTTGTTCACAGTTACATAGACAGATTCTTTAATACAAATGCATAAAATCGGTGATTTACAATGTGATTAGGTTGTCTGACGAAACATCCACTTGCACAGTTTGAGATCGATTGGGTCATTGGATGAAGAGATATTTACAAAAAAACGGGTCCACATGCATTTCATGCCAAACTATAGTTCCCATGATCTTCTCCATGAAAAAAGTAGGCATTCAGGGATACCACGGGAAAAACGATTGTGTAAACATTGTACTTATCAGGAGGTAGAAGATGAATATCATTTCTTGCTTGTTTGTCCATTGTATGCAAATATCAGAAAAGAATACATAAAGAAATATTTCTACTTGAACTCCCGAATAGACAAATTCTATACCCCCATGGCATCCAAAAATCAAACAGCCACAAAATACCTTGCAATGTATATACACCATGCCATAAATATGAGATCCTCTGCATTACAGATCTGGTATTATTTACGATATATTCATATATATTGCACCCTCTGCAACTGTATGTAAAATGTACTATATGCCTATGGCCTCTTCAGTACTGTAAATAAAGATTGCTTGGAGATATGCTCATGAGCCTCAACGTAAGACGCCATCAGTGAAACCTACTGTCTGATGGATCGATATATCAAAATGTGACAATATTCAGTTTCAGATTGTATTAAATATCTTGCTCCATAACATGTACATGCGTGCAATCAACGAAATAAAATGATAATAAAATGTTTACAAGGCATAAAGTACACTTTCACTAGACTTAACACCGTTCAGATTAATGTGTATTTGTTAAAAGCCTTGACATGAACTCGGGGCATGTTCTTTCATTTCCCGAACACCCCGTGTTCGGATTCTAACATTAACACATGTCTCCCCTTTACCATTATTACATTTACTCAGACCCGGATTCGGGCTCATGACGTCTGTATTGAGAAACGCAGGTGTTGTCTGAACCACACGAGAATGAAACATGGACAATACCTGCATGTGCTGAAGGATCAATGTGTTTTAGTGCCCAGTAAACATGTCCTTTTTATATACATCACCATCGACAATACCACAAGATGCAGTTGTCGTACCTCCAGCAAGTACGTGCTTAAGTCAGCATAACACACTTCATTATATTAAGAAGCATTGGCTTGCTTCATTAACTACATAGGATATCGATTACCTTTCGTTAAATTTTGTTTTCTTTTGTCCCCAGAGCGAAAAGATGGTTATCTGATTACTGAAGTTGCATGACCTTTATAGCAGTAATGCCCGTGAAGATCCGGGTTAGAATTGGTCTTCACTAACTCATGTTTGTCGTAAGAGGCGACTAACGGGATCGGGTGGTCAGGTTTGCTGACTTGGTTGACACATGTCATTGTATCCCAATTGCTCAGATTGATGCTCATGCTGTTGACCACTGGTCAAAAATTCTATTATTTACAAATTGTACTTTTAATTGCAATATCGCTGTGTACGGCGTTCAACAATAAACAAACAACCAAACCTTAAAACAATATTTTACTTACTTGTATTTATCACACAAATGTGAGTCAGTTCATTGTCGGTGAAAACCCTGAGTTTCATTTAAAAAATTCAAAACGGTATTTACAAGAAACAAATAATTATTTATTCAGAACAATTACATTAAAATGACCTGATGAAAATGTAATTTAGTGTAAGTTTAAAAATCGTTTTGCTGATTGTGTTCGGTGAACACATTTGTTACTGATTTGACTTATTTCTGACTCTTCCTAGATCATGATCGGCTCGATTGTAGCTGTTTTGTTGCTCATGGCCTCAAGCGTGGAGGTTATTAGCGCAGCGACATGCGCATGTGGAAAGGTTACGGTTCACATCCGGTCAGGACCCGGAACTACCCATGGCACGATAGGGAACATCTACCCCGGGTTCTGTTACCAGTTTAAGGGAGATGAGAGCAAAGCCAGTGGTTATGAGTGGGCACACATTGACTATGATGGGAAGGTAAGCGCACAGAGACCGTTAATCTGTCTCACAGTCCCTGAATCACATTACCCCACTTCCGCCCACCCCTTTCTGCAATGCTTAAGTCCTAAATGAAGTCTAGATTTCCTCATTGCTAGGCAACTTACTGGGGGTCCTTTTTAATTTTTATAGGAAGTATTTGTTTCAACCAAACTTTTATACATAGACCACGAGTCCTTCCCTGAAGATATTTGGCCACCAATACACTATTTAATACCGTGATGGCCGACTGAAAGCAGGGTCCGTTGGAAGATTACGACCTATGGGTCTGACATGCCGAATGTCTGTTTTCGTTCCCCGTTGTTGTTTTCTGTGCCAGAACTCACTCATCCCTGGCGTTACGCTGCTTTTAGCAATATTTCAGCAATATCATGGCAGTGGATGTGCAGAGAAAGGAGAGAAAGATACAGAAAGATGGGAGGTATAAATAGGCGAAGAGGTCATGTGCTGGGGGTCTTTTGTGCTGGTTTGGTTGTTGGTTGGTTTGCGGTTAAACGAGAGAGATAGAGAGAGAGAGAGAGAGAGAGAGAGAGAGAGAGAGAGAGAGAGAGAGAGAGAGAGAGAGAGAGAGAGAGAGAGAGAGAGAGAGAGAACGCAGAGAGGCAGACAGTGAGACAGCAGCGGCAGCATATAATTATTTAGCTTAGCAATATTACAGCAATATGTCAGAATATTGATTGGCGACACTGGAATGGGCTTTAGACGTTGTTCTCATGTGGGAAATCTAACCCGGGTCTCCAGATGAACGTTCGAACGTTTTAACCACTACACCACCGTCCCTGGCGTCGAGAAGAAGCTGCCGTGGCATAATATTACACGTCTTTACAATGCTAGGGGTGACCGTCTCTTGAAAGTCATATTAATGTCATATTAAATACTTACCTTTGAAACACATACGATTCGACTTATATTTACCATAAAAGGATGTACATGAACAATGGCAACATTAACTCTGAAGCTGACTGTAGGCCATCTGTATTCATTATGACGGTGGTCATTTCACATTTATATGTGTGTATTAAGGAATGGTCATCTGTAAAGTAAATGTAAAGTTGACTTTTTGTTGCAGGACGGGTGGGTTGCGGAGAACTACGTGGACTTGAAGACGTGTCCGTCGTCAGTGACGTCACACCCAAACAGCGGAACACACACTGGAACACACACGGGTAAGAGAAGACAAAGACACTTATCCTTTGTCTGTTTCATAATCGAGTCTGGACCAGACAATCCTGTGATCAACAGCATGAGCATCGATCTACACAGTTGAGATACGATGACATGTGTCAACCAAGTCAGCGAACCTGACCACCCGATCCCGTTAGTCGCCTCTTACCACAAGCATGGGTTACTAAAGACCGATTCTAACTCGGCTATACTGATCCAGCCATGGAGAAACGTCAAATCGACCAAGAAGATAATTTCGAGGATAATGTGACGACACCGTGATGCTCACTTGTTGCAGGCAGCAGTACCCACGCCGGCTGTCCTCGAATCATCTCCAAGTCTGAATGGGGAGCCCGGACGCCCAAGGCCGGCCAACTACATCTCCACGGCGCTGTGAAATACGCCTTCATCCACCACGGCGCTAGTGCTGCCTGTCACACCGAGGCGTCATGTGCTGCCATGGCGAGGGCCTATCAGAGAGACCATATGGACTCACGTGGTAGGTCATGTGACGTTATATGAATATTCATTTGGTAACTAAAATCTCAGTAAACTGAAACAGGGGTTATTCCATACTCCGGCGCAGTGATGACTTAGCATGGAACTCTGGGTGGGAGAGTGGGGTTATTCTAGTTTAACATTTGGCAATGGTTATCCATGACGAAGGATGATGAATGGAAGAGTAATTAGGGCAGTAGTGGCTGAATCATCCTCGATAATCTCCAGGGTATCCGTTACGATCTCTCTCCACTATACCCTGGATGCATCCACGGCTTGGGGCGATGATTTTATTACCTCCCTTGGGTTGGCTGGCTTTTTATCCAATCAGGTGCCTACGCCGGGAAGTTGAGCGTACCAATCACAACTCACTTTCGCTTCTTAAATTATCTAACCGTTTAAATTGATGCAGAGGTCATCTGAAAGAAGTAGAAGGAGTTCTGTCATATATTTTTTTAAAGTTTCAGATCTGTGAATTTGTCCTTATTATTTCCCAAACACTCTGAGTGGCACTGGGAACAAACCTTCGCGACTGCGACCGCTATGCTTGTTGAAACTGGCAAGCTCGGTTGTAACGGCGGCTTAGCTGACTGGCTACTGTGAGAATGCGGAGCCAGCCAAGGGAGGTAATAAAATCATCGCCCCAAGCCGTGGATGCATCCAGGGTATAGTGGAGAGTTATCGTAACGTATGCCCTAGAGATTATCGAGGATTTGGCTGAATACGCTCAGTACGAATGTGGCTCGTTGGCTAAACATATGTGACCGAGGGAGCTATGAGAGAGCGAGTGAGTTAACATTTACAGTCACACGAGGAACTATAAGACCTGAACGGCACTGATATTACTTGAGTGGATAGAGACCATATATCATTATATTCTATGCATATCTGGCAGTGTCCACACGCTGGTACTGGAGGAACAAACAACAACAACAAACAACAATGACAAACAACAACAATTCATATTACGCTTAATCCACATGTCCCTACCACGATTCTTACTATCAAGGTGTAAACATGATTTAGTTCCGAGTAGTAAATGTTCCGGTTCGGAATAAATGCCGTGAAATTGAGAATGGATGACACGAATAAAAATTCCGCACATACGGCAAATATTCCATCGAACAGGAACAAATACCGTAGGCCTAACCTATTCCAGTCATCATTGAATGCAAAATGGACTCATCCAACTTCCGGGATGTCTACTAACTACAACTTGGTTACATGTTGACTGTAACCTGGCTAATGACTAACTGTAACTTGGTTACATGCTGACTGTAACCTGGCTACTGACTAACTGTAACTTGGTTACATGTTGACTGTAACCTGGCTACTGACTGTAACTTGGTTACATGTTGACTGTAATCTGGCTACTGACTGACTGTTAATTGGTTACATGTTGACTGTAACCTGGCTACTGACTGACTGTTAATTAGTTACATGTTGACTGTTACCTGGCTACTGACTGACTGTTAATTGGTCACATGTTGACTGTAACCTGGCTACTGACTGACTGTTAATTGGTTACATGTTGACTGTAACCTGGCTACTGACTAACTTGGTAACATGTTGACTGTAACCTGGCTACTGACTGACTGTAACTTGGTTACATGTTGACTGTAACCTGGCTACTGACTAACTCTAACTTGGTTACATATTGAATGTAACCTGGCCACTGACCAACTGTAACTTGTCACATAAGGACTGTAACCTGGCTACTGACTGACTGTAACTTGGTTACATGTTGACTGTAACCTGGCTACTGACTGTAACCTGATTAATGAAGGTAACTTGGTTACATAATAACTGAACTCTTTTTAACACAAGATTCATTTAGAATCATCAGTTCGCATTCTGGGGAATCAACAATGTATTTTCATAAAAAAAATAAATTAAGTAACTTTCACACATGATAATTGCTTCTTGATAGCCACATGATTTGTGACCCGTGAAGATCCGGGGTAGAATAGGTCTTCAGCAACCCATGTGCTTGCCATAAAAAGGCGACTATCTTGTCGTAAGAGGCGACTAACGGGATCGGGTGGTCAGTTTCGCTGACTTGGTTGACACATGTCATCGGTTCCCAATTGCGCAGATCGATGCTAATGCTGTTGATCACTGGATTGTCTGGTCCAGACTCGATTATTTACAGACCGCCGCCATATAGCTGGAATATTGCTGAGTGCGGCGTAAAACTAAACTCACTCACTCACTCACATGATTTGTTCCATATGGAACAAATACCGTAGGACAATCTTTTTTTCCTTTCCGTTATCCCCACGCCCCAATTTTTAAGACCACCCCAACAAACAAAACCCTCTTTTAGACACTTTATGATGTGTGTGGAAGTTCCTCTTTACCCGGAATAAATTCTGTGTGTGCGGAACGAAATAATTGTTCCGCTTGCACTATTACAGGAAAAAATGTTGGAATGAAAAGTTCCGCTGGAACTTTTACAATGGGGGAACCAAATCTTTTTTACACAGGGACCGCCTCCGTGGTGTAGTGGTTAGAGCGTCCGCCCGGAGATCGGAAGGTCGAGGGTTCGATCCCCGACCGCGTCATACCAAAAGCGTTAAAACATAGTACTTGTTGGTCCCTGCCTTGTTCTCGGCATTAATGGGTACAACAAGGACTGGTCGGCTCGGAGTCAGTATAATGTGTCTTAGTAGGGTATTCATACTTCACTGCGGCATGGTATCTCAGTGGGCTAGCATTAAAAACCAGCACATACACATACACACGCATGCAAGTAGTCATATTAGCGAAAAATTCTCAAGCACGACGTTTAACCAATATCACCTCACCTCACCTTACTATCAACGTATCAGTGCACATGGAATTCGTATTTTCAGCTCACCCTTGAAGTATACATCCCATTGCAGAGCCGTCAGACTCGAGACGGCTCTGCAACCACGTTAATACCTAATCCTAACGGCTGATCATTGCCAGGGTGTGTCTGCTGAACGCCATTATATATCTATCAAAAGTTGTTATCAAACTGATTCTCACTCCCAATCTAACATATCCGAGTACCTACTGTGTTCCTTGAACATGTTCAGGTTTCAACGACGTTGGGTACAGCTTCCTGATCGGCGAGGACGGCAACGCCTACGAGGGACGTGGTTGGGATATCGTCGGCGCTCACACAAAGGGCTATAACTCTGTCGGACTTGGTAAGTCTAACATTCAGCTAAAAGGTGGGATGTGTATTGTAAAGCAGTTGCTCGCTCTAAAGAAGGAACTTGACGATCCTGCAACCCGTTTTTAAACTTAAGTGCTTAAACACACAAATACTAAATTCACTCACTCTCTCACATGTTAGAATCGACTTCGGGGTTGTTTCGGTGTATAGCCTAATCACAGTACGTAACGTAAACGCAAAACATCGGTGTATAGCCTAATCACAGTACGTAACGTAAACGCAAAACATCGGTGTATTGCCTTATCACAGTACGTAACGTAAACGCAAAACATACTGAAGTCAGTTCTTAAGTATAAAGGTTTGCTTGGATGTATTGAAGTATGATGACATTCAACTAGGGTTCTGTATGATGGGCAACTATATGGAACGCCTCCCCAACTCCAAGGCCCTGGACACGGTCCAGATGTTGATAGCCTGTGGGGTGGCTAAAGGCAAGATCCAGACCAACTATATTCTCAGGGGGCACCGTGATGTTGGTGTCACCGCCTGTCCAGGGACCAAACTGTATGCCCTCATCAAGACGTGGCCTCATTACTAGAATGGAGACACGGGTGGTTTGAATAGATTCAGGAACAGCACATTGTGCCGGATGGTGACACATTGCAGCGTCTGTTATTATTTACAATGAGTGAGTGAGTGAGTTGAGCTTTACGTCGCACGCAGCAATATTCCAGCTAATGGCGGCGGTCTGTAAATAATCGAGTATGGACCAGACAATTCATTGATCAACAGTATGAGCATCGATCTGCGCAACTGGGAACCGATGACATGTGTCAACAAAGTCAACGAGCCTGACCACCCGATCCCGTTAGTCGCCTCTTACGACAAGCCTTTACGTCGCCTTTTGTGGCAAGCATGGGTTGCTGAAGACCTATTCTACCCCGGTTCTTCACGGGTTCTTTACAATGAATAAGTGATTTCATCAATCGTATAAATAATACCTCTCTCTATTTATATGTCTGCATGTGTACTTGCGTGTGCGCAAGAATAAGGGTATTTTGTAAGTGCACGCGTAAAGTGTTTAATTGCGTGGGTTCCTGTGGTGAAGCATGGCAGTTTTACGCCACACTCAGTATTCCAGCTATATGGCGGGGATCTGCACATAATCGAGTCTGGACCAGACAATCCAGTGATTAACTGCATGAGCATCGATCTACGCAATTGGGATACGATGACATGTGTCAACCAAGTCGCCTCGCCGTTAGTCGCCTCTGACGACAAGCATTGTAACAGAAGATAAATCTTCAAGGATGTTTACAACACGGGTTAACGTTTACAACACAGATTGACGTTTACAACATGGATTGACGTTTATAACACAGATTGACGTTTACAACATCGATCGATGTTTACGACATTGACGGATGTTTACAATACGGATTGACGTTTACAAGACGGATGGACGTTTATAACACGGATGGACGTTTATAACACGGATGGACGTTTATAACACGGATGGACGTTTATAACACGGATGGACGTTTAAGATGTAGATTGACGTGTATATCACAGATTGCAGTTTACAACATTGGCGGATGTTTACCGCCTGGATTGGCGGATGTTTACGACACTGACGCATGTTTACGACACAGATGGATGTTTACGACATGTATGTAACCTGCGAAATGATTTCGACATGTCAAGGATCAATACAGGGTAAATCTCGAACCCTATTCCTGTGGATCGTTCTGCCGTTCTTGGTAACCTGCACCTTCACGGGATGTCAACACCAATGATTTCTTGCTGTAAATGAGTGCTGGTTCCAGTGACAATTGACTCCACATTGCATGACGTAAACTGTCGTATTCCATAAAATGAGTGAGTGATTGAGAGTATGGTTTACGGCGCTACTAGCAATACTCCAGCAGCATCATGGGGAACACCAGAAATGGGCTTCACACATGATTGTATCCATCTGGGCAATCGAACCCGGGTCTTCGGTGTGACGAGCGGACGCTTTAACCACTAGGCTACCCCACTGCCCCTTCATAAAATATAAGCTCTTACTGTAATGATTATTACTTGTGCGGTACTTGTATGGGTATTCTGGGAAATAAACGCTTGGAGGGACACGCGTGTGTTCCTGTTGTTTTTTAAAAGTGTTGGCAGTAACGGCTAACGTGACAATTTTACACCGACAGTACAACACAGACAAAAGATGAGCGCAACTCCCTGTGGTACAGTGATCGAGTAATAATTAGCACCATCCAGCACGGTAACTTCCATCATGACAATACATGAAACACCTGATGAATCAATATGAAACTTAGTGAGATTAGTTTCACGCCAGCATGTTAGTTTTACCACGTGGTTTCAGCGATAAACAGTATGTAATGACGCGTGTTATATGTTTACCACACTTACAAATCCAACATGGTGCTGACTTGACATGGTCGTAACCAGGAAATCTCCGATCCGGAACCAAGGTCTCTGGAATCTTCTACTGTACTGATCTACACTGGCAAGTGACAGACCGTCTCCGTGGTGTAGTGGTTAGAGCGTCATACCAAAAGACGTTAAAATATGGTACTTGTTGGTCCCTGCCTGGCGTTCGTCATTAATGGGTACAACAAGGACTGGTCGGCTCGGAGTCAGTATAATGTGTCTGAGTGAGGTATTCATGCCTCACTGCAGCGTGGTATGTATCTCAGTGGGCTAGCACTATAAAACCAGCTTAAGTCTGGGCTAGTACATGCAGCCGCACATACACATACACACGCATGCACGTCGTCATATGAGCGAAATATTCTCAAGCACAACGTAAAACCCAATTTCACCTCACCCCACCTCACATCCAGTGACAAGCTGCCTCCTAGTTTTATGGCACTGACAAAAGATGAGGCAATTCCCAATGGTGCGGTGATGGTGTAGCTAAGCATCACGGCATTACACTGTAGATTTCCTCCCATCTGCCACATGACATTAGGCACCTGCAAGCCACACGTGTCTTTTATCATAATAGTGATGAAAAAGAATCGATTAGTAAAAATCGATGGATTTGGTTAATTTACATTTTATTTCTGAGTGAAACAGAGGCGAGACACCCAGGGTGTGTCTCAAGTTGGCTAACATATACAGACAAATTTAGAAAACAAAAGCAAGATGTTTTCTGTTTTCTCAATAAATAATCAGTCCGAAATGGAATCGTCTCAGCATCCAGCAATAACTAAATACTAACAAAATCCTGATTGGAAAAAGTAACTGTGCATAACATCAAGTTGTCCATGCTCAACCGGAAGTTAGTCGTCATTAACTAACGTTGTCACAACGTTGTGATACGTCATCACAAGGTTACAGTTATATGATGCTAACGTATTTTACGTTCTCTTACGTTATATTTAACGTCAATTCCGTCCCTAGTAGTGAGCAGTACATAAGAAACAAAGCAGAAATTCACTTCAAGTTTTATTCTTAAATTTGCATCTTGTTTTGTTTGTGTGTTTTCTGAATAGGGAGTAGTATTAGCTGAATAGTGAAGAAAGAATCCCTGAAAGAAATGCCAGAAAACTGTGACACCAAGTTATAAGAAATGGAAACTTCCACCCATGATTGAAAGCAAACGAACAGATACTTTCAGTATATTCTTTCGTTGTAATAGTGACCTACAATGGCTGAAAAGGGAACAAATCAGAATTCGATAGCTGCAACTACCAAGACAGTTTTGTGTGAGAAGGAACCAACAACCCGTACAGTGATGAAGCAACTACCATCGATGCGTACAGTTATTGTTTTCCTTAATATCTGCGTTTGTATGTTTTGACAGAAGCTAAAATCAGGACACAGCAGCTACATAACCTAATTAAGCCGATAACCTCATTTATAAAATCAATATGAAAAAATAAAATGAATTGAATTGATAATGTAAATTAAAGACATCGAAAGTGGTCGATTTCTCGGCTTTTCCAATTCGCGCCGAAAGACGTGTCAAGAAATGCTTCAAAGGTAAACAAAATATAATGTGTCATGACAAAATGATATAGGGGTTATAATCCATGACCGTTCAGCTTATAAGAATTCGATTTCATAAACATTTACTACTTGAAAATATCAATATCTTACGAAGTTTGGGACTCACTTTCTACCGCGATCGACTGTCTATCGGGGAAATGGTAGTTGATGTGACCAAATTCCGGTTGAGCGTGGACAGGGCTTTCCCCCTGTAAAAGCATTTTGCATGAAATTGGATGTCACGTATTGTGCGTGGCACGTGCACTTTGTACACAATGAACTTACTCACTTTTTGTACACTTGAAGTTCACATACCTCATGTTGAAAATTGAAGAACGGTTGATTATTCTCCAGCCTCTAAATGTTGTGGAACACTCGTTAATTTCAACCGAAACTGCGCGTACGTCCTGCCAAGGCTTACAGAAAGTCAGCGTCTCCGCGCCGTATGTACATGTATGCTGGAGACTGGAATGGCCCAAAATGAAGCGGCCAGACATTTTGGTGTCCATGGAAACACGATTTCATTACTCAAGCCATTTCTACATAATCAAAACACGAGAGATTTGCCTCGGCCGTCCACGCGTGACGTCACGTCAGCAAGATAACCACATTCAGACTGACTGACTGACTGAATTTGGTTTTACGCCGCTTTTAGCAATATTCCAGCAACATCACTGCGGGGGGACACCAGAAATGGGCTTCACAAATTGTACCCATGTGGGGATTCAAACGCGGGTCTTCGACGTGACGAGCCAACGCTTTAACCATTAGGCTACCCCACCGCCCCACCACATTCAGAACCGACTGAGGGAGCACAACATCTTTTCATGGTCAATGGCAATCTTCAGCACGAGGAATCACGCTCCAGCACCATAATGCCTAACCAAATGTCGCTCGTGTTGTGACAGATTTCCTGAGACAGCAATACATTCCGGTACTCTGTCCCATGTCATCTACAATTGTAATGACATGGAGAGACGTTTACGTCAAGCCCAGAATCAGCCATAGACGTTAGGTGAATTTGGACGAGCGTTGGTTCAGACATGGAACAACATTCCCGAAGCTTTCTGTCGCTTTGTGTCGCTTATGCGTCGTCGTTGTCAAGCCTGCATCAACGCCAATGTGAACACACACGATACTGAGTTAAACTGACTTCAAGTGCGTGTCACGATGCCTGATGTCAAATCATACATATTTCGATATTATCCTGTCAACAGTTAAACAGTGATTAAGGAAAAAAACACAAATCATGTTATTCACATGCAGTGTAAAATGCATATATACTAGGCACATAAAGAAACTGTGCATACAAAAATTTAAAATCTAAATTCATCAAACCTGTGTAGACAAATAAGGATTTAAACTCAGAGATTTAGTGACATGTATCCAACAAGGATGCACGTGCCACGTTCCGTGACGTCAGTGGGTTCGTCCTTGAGACGTGCAATACGTTTTTGCACGTGCATTTCGGGAAAGAGAAACAGAGCAAATGAATGCCACACAATACTGTCACTTTGGAAAGCTCAACCCCTGCCCTTGCGATCGTTCAAAAAATGTAACGGCTATTGCAACGCATAGCATGCCAAGGCTCACGTCTGCACAACGTCATGAGGCCATTGGGATGGTCCGTGGGGGAATGTCTCAACGACA